AAAATAACAAATATTTGAATTTCATAATATTAATGCTATCAAGGGGGAAAAATCATACAAGAGAATTATATATGAAAACTTTGAAGTCCCAAAGTTCATTATTTGTCAGGCTGAGGGAAAGTCTCAGCCCACTCTGAGACTTTTTTGGTTGGTTGTTTTTGTTTTTTTCTATATAACATCCTTGGCTGTCTGGAACTCACTTTATAGACCATGCTCACTGTTCTGTACTAAGAAGGCTCTCAGTCAGCAACAAGCCTTGGTAGCAGGCACATCAATAGATGAGGCACATCAATCATCCTACTTACACCATTGTTTCAGAAAGAAGCAGGCAGAAAGACTTAAAAATGTACTACCAGTCAGGCCCAAGAACGTGGGTCTGTAATAATCAACCATAGTGTCTATATAGACACAGACTAAAGTGGAAGGATCTCAAGTTCAAGGCCTGCCTGAACTACAGTGACATCAAGGCCAGCCTAGAGAACTGAGACCTTGTTTCAAGGACTCGGCATGTGGCTTGGCAGTAGAGCACTTCTCTAGCATGCACACAGCCCCACAGTTCAATCTCAATAAAAATAAGGGGAAAAGAAAGTCTGTGTGTGTGTGTGTGTGTGTATCCATACAAATATGTAAGTATATATACATATATAAAACTGTTACATACAATATATATATATATTTTTTGTAGTGTATTTACTTCCAAGTTTTATAACCTAAATTATAATTACCTTGTTTAAGGCATGCCCAACATGAGGGTCACCATTTGCATAAGGAGGTCCATCATGAAGGCAAAATTCCGTCTTTACTTTTCTTTCTCTTTGCCAGGAATAAAGTTCTGAAAAGCCACATTTCTGTTTAAAAAAAAAAAAAGCCGATATTTACATATGACATAAATGCATGCTGTAGACTCATCAATACGTGGTTATCATTTATCCCATTCCAATCCATTCTGCCCAGAAATATAACTGGAAATTTTTCTGGAATGAACTAGAATTCTCTTAACACTTTCAGTAGTCTTCATTTATTTATTTATTTATAAGATTTTCCTTATTTTATTTATATGAGTACATTGTATCTGTCTTCAGACACAACAGAAGAAGGAACTGGATCCCATTACAGATGGTTGTGAGCCACCACGTGGTTGCTGGGAATTGAACTCAGGATCTCTGAAGAGCAGTCAATGCTCTTAACCACTGAGCCATCTTTCCAACCCTTCAGTAGTCTTCAAATTCCCCAACAATACTTCAGATTAAAGTGTAAACTTTTATGCGGCATGGGGGCTCTAAATTCTTGACAAGTCTCCCAAGTATTCATTGGTTCAATCCAGCCCTGCTAAAAGACTTGTCCATTCCCAGCCCACTCTACCACCCAAAACACACTGGTAATTTATTCTTGCTATTCTTTGGCCTCAATACTTCCCTAAATCCAAAGACTATTCAGGCTAACACTATTCACTTAAGCAGTATTCCTGATTACCAGGAATATTTTAAATACTCTAGAATATAGACACTAACAAGTGAATCTCAGCCGTTAGTAAATTCAGAACGAAATAGGAGGCAGATACAGACTACACAGGGGACCCAGAAAAGGGCAGCTACTTTGTCCTTCAAAGGAATCATAAGTCCAGTCAAAAATCTAAACATGTGACTAAGGTGGGCTTCAATTTCCCTTCTTTGGTAGTATTTTTATTATTTTGTTAAGTTAACTTTTATGTTTTATTATTTCTGTGTGGTGCATGCAAGCGCAGGTGCCTGCAGAAGTCAGAGGCATTGGATCTCCTGGTGTTGGAGTTACAAGTGGTTGTGAACTGCCAGATTTGTGTGCTGGGAACCGAACGCGGATCCTCCGCAAGGGCGGCAACCGCTCTTAAGCGCTGAGCTACTTCTCCAGCCCACACTTGCTCACGCTGGTTACTTTCTGACAAGTGACTGGAAAAGTGTGCAAAGCCTACCTGCTTGGCGCGGAAGTCAGAAGGTGCTCGGTGCGACATTTGGCTTCGCTTTGGAACCCGCCCCCTAAGAGCCCGCCTGGGAACCCCAGCGGCCCGGAGGGTTCCCGCAGAGCTGGCCCACCCCGCCCTGCTCGGGTGGCCGCGTCCAATACCTGCTGGATCTCCAGCTCCATGTCGGACTGCTGCTGGCCCAGCAGCTTCATCGGGAAGGTGGTCTGCGGCAGCAGCACAGTTTCGCGGTATCTGCCGCTTTTCGGGCTGTTCTGGGGGCTGTCCGCCCCGGCCACTGAGCGTACCACGAGCCTCCTCGTCACCCCCAGACACCCCGGGCGGCCGGGAAAACAGGATGGCCCCCATAAGCTCCAAGCCGAGGCGAGCGCCGCCGTCCCGGGCCCGCGAGGGCGCAGCCCCCAACGCATGGTGGACGACCCGGGCGGACCCCTCCGCACACTGCCCGCGGCAGCTGCCCGGGATCTAAATATAGGGACTCCTTGCAGGTCTCAGCGGCGAGGAACTGCGCACGCGCTCGGGGCGGAAGGGGCGGGGCAAGAGCAAGGGCGGGGTCTTCCGGAAGTCTGTACCTCTACAATTCTTCCCTGACATCTTGCCGGAGTGTAGAATTGTTTACTATTACTCGGCTTTCCCCAATCAAATACATTTAATTAACGTGTCCAGGGTCATAAACATAAGTAGCAAAGCTAAAGTCGTGCAGTGGTGATGCAGGGGTTTAATCTCAGCACATGAGTGTCAGAGCCAGTCGGAGTTCCAAGTTCGAGGCTAGCTTGGTCTACAGAGGGAGTTCCACAGGACAGCCAGGGCCACACAGATTTACAACTGTAATTTTGCCATTCCTATGCTACACTTGTAAAAAAGAAAAAAGTATATAAAAAGTAGCTACAAACAAGATAAAGGAGGGGGGAGGCAAAAGGTAAACACAGGCAATTCATAAAGAATATAGTCAATGAATGCAAAGATATGCTCACCTTTGGGAGCCAGGATGACACAGAGTCGTCTAATATATTAGAACAAACATGAAATTCGGTAACAAGTATTGGGAGAGTTGGAACATGGACTGCTGGAGGTAGTATACAGCGTGTAACGTCTTCTCGTTTCTCTGTGTGTGTGTGTGTGTGTGTGTGTGTGTGTGTGTGTGTGCGCGCGCGTGCGCGCGCTTATTTGCATGTTTGGGCATGCATGTGTGCGTGCATATGGACGTCCAAGACTTGGGAATCATCTTCCATAGCTCTTCCACCTCATTCAAGGGTCTCTTAATGAAACGAAGAGCTGGCCCATATAGTCTAAGCAGCTGGCTCTGGGGATGAGGGTCTTCTGCACCTGGAATTGTACACGGTGTTTGAGTGTTTTGTGAGTTCTCGTGTTTGTACCACCATCTCCCCCGCTCTGTAGTGAATGACAATATTTAGAATGCTGTTCTTCTCCGAACTGCACTTTCCAGTCTGGAAGCCTGACTGACAGCTGTCATCTCACAGCAGCGGGAAGAAAACCCCACCCCCACCCAAACTCTTCAGAACAACTAGCTGCATTCAATCAACTCGTCTGTTTTCTGGGAAACCCTATGAGAAGATATGTAGCTGGTCTTAGCTACTTTGTGGGTTCTTCTTTTCCCATGCTTTATTCTCGCAGTTTTGCCCCCTAACACTTGATAGAAGAAAAACAAGGATAGAGGGGAGAAAAAGAGATAGAGACACCCCCCCACACACACACACACACATCTTACTTCTTCTTTGAGCACTATGCCGCTCCACCCCCCCACTCTTGGGCCTTTAGCATTTATATACCATCTGAAAAGTTCCCAGAATTCCAAATCTCACGTAATCACAGAAATTATCTGCAGTTGGCAAAAACACACCTCTGCTAGGGCAAAAGGCAAATCATAGTCAGCTGCTTCAGACAGTCTGAAGTAGCCCCATATCCCCACATCTGGAATTAAAGCAAAAACATATGTTTGTTTAAAAAAAAAAACTCCAAAACTCTCACTACAGAGATAAGGTGAGTTCGTGGCTAAGCTACATTCATGAGACAGATTGTATCTGTCCTTATTTATGGCAATAGTTACATTGTTACAATGTAATAACAAAAAACAGTGTACGAATTTTTTTAAAGTTTTTTTTTAGATTTACTTATTTTATGTGTATGCCTTTGCCTGCATGTATTTATGTGCACCATATGTGTGTGTGATGCCGGAGGAGGTCAGAAGAGGCTATGGGGCACCATTGAACTAGAGGTTTGGATAGTTGTGAGCCTCTGCTGGAAACCCCACCCCAGTCCTCTGGGAGAACAAGTGCTCCAAACTGCCTGCTAAGCCATCTCACCAGCATCCAGTGTATGGCTTTAAAGGGTGTGTGTTGTCAACATTTTTACCAAGCATGAAAGGTATGTCTAAACTCAGAGTAAATAAAAGAAGTCTCTTCCAACCATAGCTTTATGTAAATGGTGTGTGTGGACATTTCTCGCTGGTGAGAATAGGAGTGTGTGAGGGTTTGTTTATGCCAAGAATCCCAGTACATAAAAAGCTGAGGTAGGACTGTCAAGAATTCGAGGCCAACCTGAGTGAAACCATGTATGTATGGTATGTATGTGTTTATGTGTATGTACATATATATGAACAAATAAGTTATGGTTTGCTTCTAATAACTAAGGTTTGAGAGTCGCAGTAAACGCATAGAAACAAAATCTGTTCAATATCATCCTCATAAAATAACAGCGTGAGATTTTTAAGGAAAAAAAAGCGTTGCTTTTATGAAAAAAATCCCATAAAGGCAAGTCACTAAAAGCCAAAGCCAAGTCAGCGTGGTAGCACCTGTGCAGTCGTAGCTAAGTTAGGGAAGAAAACAAGTAAAAACTGTTGTCTCAGTGAAGCCAAGATGCCAGGAACCAGCACCCGGGAAGGTCCCGGGAACTCGGGCTTTGACGACAGGCGGCAGAAACCTGAGTAAAACCGTCGGTCACCGGTTTCCCAGACGGCCTGGAGCGCGCGGGGAGGCCCTGCGCCTGCGCGGACCTCACGCATGCGCAGCTGCGGTCGTTCTCTGCACATTTTACCGGTGAACTTGGAGGTACCCGGTTCCGGGACAGCAAGCCACTAGGCCGGACACCGCTTTGGGGACGCCAGGCTGAGTGTAAGTTTCTCCGGCGGCAGGGCAGAGCCTCGGGCGGTACTAGTTTCTTGTTGCTCACCCCTGGCCCAGATTAGAGGAGAGCCAGGAGTTATACACTCAAAGCACTCTTGTGGCTACACTGCTTCTAGTTCAGGCGCATCCAGAAGCTTGAGTGGCCACATGTGGTTGTCTATCTGGACCTTTTCTTTCATGCTGGAATAAACTATAGAGTTAAACTTGACTTTCCCATCCGAATTTGGACACTTCATAATAGCAAACATTCTTATCGTTGTCATTTCTGCGCGTTAGTAGGCTGCTGTGATTTATTTCACCAGGAATATAATAGCTGCGTTGAACGGTGTATACGTTTTGTTTTTGTTAGAGGGCTCCAGTAGAAAACGTTTCCTCCATCCTTGCAGACTGGGCAAACGTTTTCGTGTGTCAATCACTTCTTGGGCTCTAAGTTTGCATTTCTTTTAAATTCAGTAGATTGAACATTTCGTGTATTTAGTGATGAGCGCCTTTCTTTTTCTGGGAACTACTTGTCAACTGTTCTTGCCCCAAACAAAACGCTCAATTATTAGTGAAAGATACAGGACTTTCCTCTCCTGTTATCTGATATAAACTGGCTTTGCTTGTGGCAATTTGGACATGTAGAAGTTTTAATTTCTGTGCAAATTTGTTAATACACTTAGTTTTATGTTTTAAAGGCCCTTTTCAAGTTTATGAAGCCATTCCTATACTCGTAGTTTTTTATCTTTATTTAAATCTACTACTGGGCTGAGAGAAAAACTGTTAGGCTGGCTTTAAAACCAAGGTACTCTTACTTCAGACTCCTGAGTTTGGGAATTATAGGAGTGTGCTTCCAGCCAGGACTTCCTGGAACATTAAACAACAACAACAACCAAAGCCAGCGGTGTGTGTGTGTGTGTGTGTGTGTGTGTACATGTGCCACCAGTGTTTGGGTGGGGGATGGAGGCCTGTTTGCAGGAGTCAGTCCTCTCCTTTTACTGTGTGGATTTGAACTCAGGTTCTCAGGCTTAGAGGCAAGCACCTTTACCAACGGTACCATTTTACCAGTTTCCCTGGAATGTATTTTAATTAGAATGCAAGAAAGATCCAACTGTTCTTCAAACTCTAGCAAGTTGCCGTTTGTGTATGAGTGGCTTTCCTCCATTTTCGTTCTTTTCTTTTCCCTCTCACCTTTTTTCTTTTGAGACAGGATCTTACTGTGTAGCCCACTTCAAATCCAGGATCCTCCTCTTCCTTCCCAAGTGCTAGGCGTGTGTCACTACATTCATCTGCTTCTTTCTTGGATTTAACATAACACCTTTAGTAGTATGTTTGGATTCATTTCTGGAATTTTACTGAGAGAGATTGTTCAGTTGGTAGTTTGTCTAGCATGCATGAGGCCTAGGGTTCTAGCTCCATATATACATATATGTTTATATATATATATATATATATATATATATGCACATATATTTGTCATATTTATATGGCTTTTTAGAATTTGGGGTATATGTGTACATGCATGGGTGTGTGGAAAAAGTACTCCACTTGGTAGCCAAAGCTAATCTGGAACTTACTATGTAACTAAGGTTTATGTGTTATTCCCAATCTTCCTGACTCAGCTTTCCAAGTGCAAGGACCAGAAGCAAGGTCACCACACCCAGCTGATTATTATATTTTGATAACTGATAATAAGGGGATTTCTATTAATTGTTCAGAATTTGCACCATCATGCTCATTTTTATCTTTCCAAACACCTTGAACTTCAGCACCACTGACCCAGGTTCCAAAGATAAGTCATTTTAATGCTTTTACTGGGAACACGTTGGACACTTTCGAATCCTAATCTGCATGCTCACTATCCTTATATGAATTAAAGATAAAGGACAAAAAAAAGTTTGGTTTTTGTTGTTGATGTTGTTGATGGTGGTGGTGTTCTCCTTCTCCTCTTCTTCCTCCACTTCTTTCCTCCTCCTCCCCCTCCTCTTCCTCCTTCTACTATGAGAAGAAACTGATCGTTTGAGCTTTGCTATTTTTCTTTTGCTGCTATTCTTTGTTTTTGTTTGTTTGCTCGTTTTGTTGTGAGACAGGATCTTACTATGTAACCAGGCTAGCCTGCACTTGCTCTCTAGCCCAGGCTGTTCTCAGCCCTTTGCAGTTCTCAGCAGCCTCCCGAGTGGTCAGATCATAGGCACATACAACCATTTTCAACTCGTGGTATTTTCTCTCCTTCTAGAGTAGTTAGCAGGTATTATAAAGATTTCTCATGAGCATGAAGTTAATTGCCTTTTTATTCAGTGTTTTTCATATTTCCTCTTAAAGCTCAAACCTAGAATACAATACAGAAGAGACTCTTTCCCACCAGTTACTGTGTTCCTCCCTAGGGTCAGAAATCCTTTGTATCAGTTGCTTTCTTCATCAATGAGTAAAAAAAAAAAAAAAAAAAAATTAGGGTGAGGGTGTTTATTATTTTGGCTCATGGTTTACTGGCATTAAGTCCATCATGGTGGGAAAGACATGGTGGCCGGGACTCCATTCTTGGTGGTGGAAGCTTATATGTGGTTTCTTACATCTTGGTGGATCTGAAGCAGAAAGCCTGAACAGAAAGCAGAGAAATGGAGCAGGTGTCAGTGCTGGACCATAGTGAAATCTTAAGGCCCACTGTCCAGCTATCCACTTCCTCTAACTAGGCCCATTCTCCTAAAGGTTCTACCCCAGTGTCCTAAAACAGCACCAGTACTGGTGAGCAAGTATTCATTCAGACACATGAGCCATGGGAGATAGTTATATGCCAACTATGACACCCTTCTAAAAGATACAGTAGTCTTTTTAAAAATCATTTTTAAATACATGTTTTAGATTCTATGTATGTGCCTGTGTGTCTTTATGTGGCAATGTGCCTGTGTCTTAATTTTGGACAGCTATTGGTCACAATAGGTTTCAGTTCTCCGCTTTAGTTTCAGTTACATTGTTTCTCTCCCTTTAAAAAAAAAAAAAGGATTTATGAACTAGGCAGTGGTTGCACAAGACTTTAATCCCAACACTCTGGAGGCAGGAGCAGGCATTTAAATCTCTGTGTGTCTGTACTGATGAATGCAAGTTCCCGTGGAGGTCAGAAGAGGTCATCTGGTCCCTTGGAGCTGGAGTTACAAGTATTTGTCACCAGCCCCATGTGGGTTCTGGGACATGACCTCTAGTCTCCTATAAGAACATCGTAACCCTTAAGCCTCTGGTCCCTCTCCTATTGTTTTAACACTCCTGTGTATCCATACTGAATAGCCAGAACAAAGGAAACATTAAGTATGTTTAGCCAGTGTTGTTGGGTGCTTATATCTGTAGTCAGTACTGTCCATGCAGTACTTACTTAGTAATCACAGCAACCCTGTACTAATACGTGGTTTTTCCGACTTATAAGTTCATGGATTGAGAGTTGAAGTGGCTCTCCTAAAAGTCTACAGCTAATGTATGGCAGAGTGTAGCCATAGAGAGTTGACTCCAGATGGTCTGTGTCTTTAATGTCTAAGCTTTTGAAAGGTCATAAAGTAGTACTTCAGGTAAGACTCAGAGGACTGTGTGGTGTGAGCTGCTGTAAGGGGGCTAACTTAGCGCCTTGTTCTTAAGCCACTTGTCATGTCAAGGTAATTCTCACTTGGGTTCCTGGGGAAGACTGGGACAGAAGTAGAAAAGCTAGTAAGAATCTCTTTTACATGTTTTACGTCATATTTTTTCTTTTTCTTTATACCACGAATCAAAATTATATATATTTCTTTAAAAACTATGGCAAGAAGACTATTAGGGCCAGGCGGGGGTAGGAATGTTTCTATTCTTATGTCTTACAAACTGTATTCTCTTTAAACGGTAGTTCATAAACATGGTGCATTTTTTTAAGGAAAGTAGTGAGCAGACAGCTTGGAAATTTTCTGTTTGAAGAAGAAAGCTCTGCATATATCTGGCAAGTTTAAGAGGAAGTGGATTAATCTTGCCTGAAGCCTGACAAGGCTCAAATGATTGCTGCATAGGCTCAAGAGTGAATGATACGTATGGGAAGCTGTAGGAGAGAATTACTTCTCCGTCACCACTCCCGCAAGTTAAAGCCCTCAGTGGTTAGGCATTCACTGAGTGTGGCTCCGTGAGAAAGAACTTAACTGGGAAGGCCTCTGGTGTGATTTCCCAACATTCCTCCCCCCCCCCCCCAACACTCCCAAAGGTGCTAGGTGGAGTTAGTAACCCAGAACTACTTTACCAGTGCAAAGTACATTAGATATATGGCTGTTCACAGATAGAAAAGTTGGGGTAAAGCCAATGAAATATTTTTTTAAGTGATTACTTTTGGACTTTATTTGTGGTGTTCCTTAGTAATGATCACAGCATACTTTATTCTACCTGTAATTCCTAGTATGTAAAGAAAATCAGTATAGCTTGATTACAATATAAGAATATACCCTATATACTCATTTTATTTTCATCTTAATTCTGGACAACTATTGGTCACAAGATGGGTTTCAGTACTGCACATTAGTTTCAGTTACATTGTTTCTCTCCCTTTTAAAAAAAAAGATTTATGAGCTAGGCAGTGGTGGCACAGGACTTTAATCCCAATACTCTGGAGGCAAGAGCAGGCAAATCTGTGAGTTTGAGGCCTGCTTGGTCTACAGAGTAAGTTCCAGGACAGCCAGGACTCCACAGAGGAACCCTATCTTGAAGAATCCAAAAAAAGAAGAAGATAAAGGAAAGGCTAAGACCTCAGACGGCCCTACTGGGCCCTTCAAAGTGTCTTTTACATTTTCCTACCATTGTCATACCAGTGCTCAGGAGGCAACCCTGGGCTGTATATATAGTGGCTATATATGTGATACTGAGACTGTCACATAAACAGAGTGGAGAGTCCCAGCACTCAGGAGGCAGGGGCAGTTGGAGTCCCAGCACTCAGGAGGCAGGGACAGTTGGAGTCCCAGCACTCAGGAGGCAGGGGCAGTTGGAGTCCCAGCACTCAGGAGGCAGGGGCAGTTGGAGTCCCAGCACTCAGGAGGCAGGGGCAGTTGGATCTCTGAATTTAAAGCTACCTGGTCTACACAGGGAGCTCTTGGCCTGCCAGGGCTACATAGTGGCACTCACAAGCAATTGGGGTTTTGGTTGGTTGGTTTGGTTTTCACTTGTTTGTTTTTAAACAGTTTGCACAACGGACCTTGGGTATACTGGACCAAAAGTAAGTGCTCTTCTCCTGAGAGTCCCTTCCCTGTCTCACCCCTCTTGTGCACTGATCAGCAAGAGTGTTCAGAACATCAGCTCATCAAGGCCGGATATATTTTAGTTTTAGCTCCTAAGACTTCCACTTTGCATGAAATACACCTCACACTCAAAACTTCTTCACCAGCTGAGTTCATTTCTCCAGGCTTTGAAAGGCTTTGCTGACTATGAAAGAGTATGACAGGGTTTAAGAGTTAATTCCGAAACTGCCTTTTCCAAGTCGTTTTAGTATGTATTTATTAAAGAACTAGTGTGGTTAATAGAGGCAGCCTCAAGCATTCAGTTAATATGTGTTGGCTTGATCAATTGATGGAAACTAGTAGCTGGTCTCTAAAGTAACAAAACATTTTTCTTTTTTCCTCCAAGGTTTATCATGGCTTCCAGCCACACTGTGTTGATGCGACTGGTAGCCTCAGCATATTCTATTGCTCAGAAGGCAGGAACCATAGTCAGGTGTGTCATTGCTGAAGGAGACCTGGGCATCGTGCAGAAGGTACTGAAAATCCTGTCTTTTTCTGCAGTCATGATGTTTGTTCTTCATAGTAGGTAGAATGTCATAGTCTAGATCGACTAACAATTACAATAATGGAGGTCACAGGAGCCTTAGTTTGTATATCTGCTTTAAAAATAACTCCGGACTTTATCTAAGATCTTTGTATATATGACTGGATCTTTTGACTGAAGTTTACTTCCAGAATAGATCCTAATCTATTTCATACAAAACCATGCAACCTTACAACATGTGACGTGCTTGTGAAAATCCATGTTTAGATTAGTATTTATTTTATCCCAGCCCTTGGGAGATAAAAACAAGAGATTCAGAAGTTCAGGGCCAGCCTTGGCTATATAGTGAGTTCAAGGCCAACTTGAGCTATGTGAGACCCTGCTTCAAGCCTACTTCCATTCTTACTCCCCTCCCCCCACCCCCAAATCAGGATGTCAAAGAGCAGCTTCAACCTCCAGGGTAAACTGAGTGGGGCATAGAATCAGCGATTGATCACTCAACAGACTTTTCTCTAAGAGAGCAAAGCTTGATTCTCTGGGGCTGGCACTCCCTGTGACCAGCAAGAGACTCTTTGAACTCCTGGGGGTCTGGGGAGTAGGAAAAAAGACAAAAGATGGGAAAGAATTACACACACACACAAACACACACTTGGTAATGAAGCAAGATAAGCTTCAACAACCTGACACATACATACCTACACGTTCACACATTGGGTTGATGGAGCAAAATGCCAACCAATTTTACTTACATATGTATGTGTGTGTGTGTATATATATATATATATATGCTTACTTATATATATTTACTTACATATATTATATATATTATATATGTATATATACACACACACATACATATACATGTTTGGTTGATGGAACACTTAACAACTTTATTTTTTCTCCCACAGCTTATATATCCCAGCAGAATCTTTCCAGCAATATAAAATTTACAGTATGATTACATTCTTTTTTTTCTAATCAATGATTACAGTGAATATACAGAAGAAAAACATGTTCCCCTATACCCTCACATAATCAAATGTTTTACAAAATAAGGATTAAAAAAAAAACAATCTATTCCCAAGAACCTACATACATTTGTAAATAAGTAACTTGTTATAGATTAACAAAGTATAAGCAAGCAAGGGAATTTTCTCAGCCAGTTTCTCTTTACTGGCAGGCTGCAATTTGCAGTTACAAAGAAAGGATCGATTATTTTACTATTCATCTTAAAAAGTAATCCTACATAAATCTTAAAAGAATCCCAAATCTAAACTTTTACATAAAAACAATCACTCATTTCTACTTTAAATCCTTAGGCTGCATTAATAATCTACTCGTTATTAATTTTTATTAAATTGTATCAGGAAGCTGAAGCAGAAATAGGTACAAGATCATCAGCCCAGCTTTAGCAAGAGGGTCATGTCAGTGTCAGTCAGACTGCTGTTATTGTTCCCTGACCAAACAACAACAACAAAAATCCCTAGCTCAGCTGTTAAGAATGTGCCTTTCTAAGGTTCAGATTGTTTGCTAAGATTTTCGACATCAGAGCCACTGACAAAACCATCGTACCTCACTTTACTAGCAGTCTACTTCTCCAAATGCTCTCTAAGGGTGGTGGCCATGGCTCACTGTCTGCATCTCTACGTTCTTTCCAAGGATGGTGACTGAATCATTAACCTGCTTCAGCAGCAATGCTTGAAAGAGATGAAGCACTCTAATTGTGAGAGTTAGTGATGTTTCCCAGTAAGGGGCTGGACACCCCTTAGAATCTTCACACAGCAATAGGTTAGGAAGGACATGATGCCTGAGAGAACAGCAAGCAGAGCGATCTGTACATACGTGAAGTCTTCAGGATGTGAAGTCCTTGGCTCTGTCCTGGGGGCTCTGCCTCTTCAAGGCACACCCCTCAGGGTTGGACTAAATCCATGGTTAGAATTCCATGAGTTCTAGAGCTGTTTTGCTGCTCCTTTTGCACAGCCCTCAGCAACAGAAATTCTTTCTAATACATTGAAGAATCATCTTCAGGATGTCTTGAGTTATGAGGATGAGTACAAACAAGTTAGAGGATACTCTTCATACACTGACAATAGTTTTAGCTTCACTTAGAAACAGTATAAGTCTATTTCTTTTTGTTTAATTGGTTGGTTGGTTTTGGTTTTGAGACAGAGTTTTGTGTGCTGCATTGGCTGGCCTGGGACTTCTGGTGAACTTGCTGCTTCTGCTTTTCAAGTATGGGATTATAAAATGTATATGATAACCCACTGGTGTTTCCTGTCTTTAGCCCATTTTAAGCAGGCTGGTATTGAGAACCTTGTGAAAGAGTTTCTCAGTTAGAGAAGAAAATATTCCAAATAACTTAAAAGCACCTTTGCAAACTTGACCTGTTGGGAGCTGGGAATGTGGTTGAGTGGTAGTGCCTGCTCAGTGTGTGTCAGGTCCGTGTTTGATCTCCGTCAGCAGCACACACACCCTGTTTCTAAGCTGGGTTTGTTTATTGGCATACAGTTTCACACTGTAGTGCAAGCTGATCTCAGATTCACGGCATGCAATACCATCCAGCTTCGCTTCTCAGTCTTAATTGCTGTTAATTCTCTGAGAAGCAGCAAGGGCCATCACTAGTTGATTCATTTGGGGTTAAGTCTGTGGATCTTAAATCTGGAAATGTAGTGTAAATTATATGGGTACAGTAGACTTGGAGTCGGAAGACTCATGATCCCTAATCGTCTTTCTATTGAGCTTTGCATTCTTTGTTACAGACCTCAGCCACGGACCTGCAGACCAAAGCAGACCGCTTGGTACAGATGAGCATCTGCTCTTCCCTGGCACGGAAATTCCCAAAGCTGACAATTATAGGGGAAGAGGTGAGAGGCGCCATGCTGTGTAGTTCATAACAGACCTGCCATTGAGTCATATGTTACACTTAGAGTCTTAGCATTGGCTCTAGTGTTTGAACACAAAGTGATCATGTTCCTTAGAGGAGAAAATCTGACTTTATAATATTTTGGTCCACTTACAGGTTTAGTCTCGCCGGGCAGTGGTGGTGCACGCCTTTAATCCCAGCACTTGGGAGGCAGAGGCAGGTGGATTTCTGAGTTTGAGGCCAGCCTGGTCTACAGAGTGAGTTCCAGGACAGCCAGGGCTACATAGAGAAACCCTGTCTCAAAAAAAAAAAAAAAAAACAAAACAAAAAAAAACAAAAACAGGTTTAGTCTCCATTCCTAGTGATGAGAGCAATCTATGCTCACCGTTGTAATAAGTATACTTTGAAATCATAAGATAAGCTCAATGGTAGAACACTGCCTACTGTACGTGGGGCTCTAAGGTGGGAGATGTCTCAGTAATAAAACCATGTGACTCACATATGTGAGGCCTGGGGTTTGAGCCCCTGCATCAACAGTTACATTTGAGGAGTCGGCAAGGTTCTGGAGCTCTAAAATGCCTGGGTTGGTTTGTTTGTCTACTTGTATTAAGTTAGTTCTTTGGCAATTTAGTGCATGTATATAATACATTCTGATTACCCATCCCCCATACTTTGGATTCTCCTCCCATCCCCTCCTCCCCATCCCTTTCCCAAATTCATGACATTTGCTTTTTTGTCCTCCCCATTTAGTTTAACCAGAGTCATCTGTGTGACCATTTCATTGGGACCATCCATTGGTCGTCAGTGGTACACAACTGAGAGCAATGGCTTCCCCTTTCCCTGAATCAGTCTGTAGGAAATAGTTCCACAGTGAAGAGGACTCTTCTGCATCCCTCCTCCACCGCTGCTTAACTGTTAGGGGTTGTTCGTTCTTCCCTGGTGGGCTGTGGTTGGAGACCCAGTCTGTGGTTGTTGAGAGTTCATGATTGCACTGGCTCTTACCCCATGATGACATTTTGCAGCCCTTTCCCCCATTTTCTGCCTCTTACCGTCTTTCTGCCCCCTCTCCTACAAAGCCTGGTGAACCTTAGAGGGGATGGTATGGATGTCTTATTCAGAGCTGAGCAGTGCACTGTAACTGTCTGATTAGGCAGGCAGAGATCTCTCCCTTCACCATAGTTCACTAGACAGAGAATCTTCTCTGACTAAGGCTGAGAGTGAGAATTTGCTATGGGAATAAACACGTATATTCAGAAAGCTGTTTGACACTGTGTACATTTAGTAAAGCTACAGAGTTTAATTCTCCGATAGGACTCCTGACCTCCCTTTTTATACATTGAGTGGGTTTCCAGACATGGAGTGTGTTTAAAGAACTAAGCATGAATTCCCATGGTGGAGTAGACCTCGAATTCAATCAAGATCAGGTAGTTTACCCCACTAACAGTGATGCCACTGTTGTATCAGTGAGCACAGCTTGCCTGACAGATGGCACTGTAGTTTGTCAGGTGCACAGATGGGTGATATTTTCTTCCTGCAGAGCACCTTCTAGCACTATGAAAATGGCCAGCAGGGAGAATGTGTCCAAGTCTTTCTTCTCTGTCTCTTGCAACCAAAGTGTGTGATGTCATTAGCAGTAAGGCCTTGTCATCTAATGCTAGTGGGCAACCAAGAAAAATGACAAGTGCCCATATTGTTTTAGGGGCCACTAGGACCTCCCTGACTGACTTATAAGGAGTTAGCACACACACAGCATTTGGGGTTTTTAATGAACCATGATTTCAAAGGGAATCAGTTCTTAGGTATCTCCCTTCTAACTTAAAAAAAAAAAATGCATCCTAGCTATTGTGAGTAAAGTGACAATAAACAGATAAGTTAGTTCCCAACAGTGAGATGTCAGGCCACTGGGCATGTGGAAGACTGCAATAGTTGGGCTATGTGCCGGAATAGCTGGGTTACGGTAGTGCTGGACTATGGTGGTTCTGTTCTTAGTGTTTTAAGGAATCTCCATACCAGTTTCTATATTGGCTGCACTGGTTTCCCGCCAACAGTGAACAAGCTCCTCTTTTCAGCATCCTCGCCAGCATTGACTGTCTTTTGGTTTCTTTAAGGCTAGCCATTCTGACAGGATAAGGTAAAATCTCAAAGCAGCTTTAATTTGTATTTCCCTTTGTGCTAGTGATGTTGAACACTTTAAAGTGTTTATTTTTCAATCCTATTATTTTTGAGTATTCTCTGTTCAGTTCTATAGTCCATTCTTGCTGTTTTTTGTTAACACAGGATCTCTCTATGAATCCCTGGCTGTGTAGACCAGAGTTACCTCAAAGCTCACAGAGATCCATCTACTTTTACCTCCGAGGTGCTGGGATTAAAGGCATTCAGATTTTTTTTTTAAAGATTTATTTTATTTATATGAGTACACTACCCATCTTCAGTCACCAGAAGAGGGCATCCAGTCCCATTACAGATGGTTGTGAGCCACCATGTGATTGCTGAGAATTGAACTCAGCACCTCTGGAAGAGCAGTCAGTGCTCTTACCAGCTGAGCCATCTCTCCAGCCCCAGCATGCAGATTTTTAAAGTTATTAGTGTGTGTGTGTGTGTGTGTGTGTGTGTGTGTGTGTGTGTGTGTGTG